TGTCAGCAAATTTTCCGCGTGTTGCACTGTTAGAGGTAAACGGTCTTCGTGTTAAAGATTGTTTTATGCTATTCATCTGTCCTATAATTAATGGAAATGGTCACGTAAACAGTCTCACCGTAGGCCAGTCTTAGTAGAACAAGTCAGAACCTCCAAGGGTGTTACTTCAATTCTTCATGAATGTTTAACTAATTATAGAGGGATCGAATATGCAAGTGAATTGTCACTTTTCCGCGACCTGATAGGCAGCCAAGCTTCTGATGAGAGGTTTGCTTTGCAGATCTCATATTTCAACTTTCGTCTTAGAATTCATGCGTAATACACTGGGGTTTGCATGAAAGAAACGTGCCCAGCTATACGATATATTTTTAAGAATTATCGGAGCATTCACAAAGGCGAACTCAGTAGCAACACATTATTCTCATTTTAGTTTTGTACGGCAGGCAATAGTCTGCACCTCATTGCCTGACATTTCAGAGGTCTTATCACTCCTGATTAAAACTCCCGTGTTTAACGAAGAAAAGATAATATAGAGATGTTGACGCAAAAATTAGTTAATCTGTTGTGGCGAAATTAGGACATTGAATAAAAGTCGTTGCCTCTGGCAAAATTTGGACCATTAGGTTAACTCAGTGATTGTTGACAAGTGCTGCAATAACACTGGATTTTCTACAATGGTCCGTTGTTTGAATGGCGTGTAAAACTCCAATTTGTGCAATTATAGTTGATAAAAACTTTCAATTCCTGCCTTCGCTTTGAAAGGAGAGATGTTTTGCAACATCCAGAAATGGAATGGTTTTAATGAAACATCCGAATTATTGAAGGCTTTTGGGCCTCAGAATGATTTTTCGCCTAGAAATAAATTGTGGAAGAAACCTGTTCGAAAACTCCTTTAAGAGCATAGAATGAAACTCTGGTAGATTTGATTCACATTTAGTCGCTGAACAACCTTTGGAAGCCTTGCGCATTGGCTTCTATTGTGGATAACCGAAAGGATGGTGCGGATTGTCTCAACTGAAGTTTTTAAAATACAAATGCTGCCTTACAGTATGCATTAAAACCCACTAAATACGGGCGGAAATATCTGAACGCGCTAATTAACCGGTCGAATTCCTTAGAGAGGTTTGAAATATTGATTAGCTTAGAACGCAATTCCATGTCATTGCGCACATAACAGCGTGTAGGATTTAAAATAAGAAACAGTCCAATCAGCCGTGCAAACCCCACCCCTAAAAAACGTCTACCCTAATTATTGCCATTTTTTCGGTTGTCCTGAGTGTTTGTACTGGATTCTGTTATATTTTCTAGAAAGGACCGCAAAATATCTCCTATTTTGCTCGTCTTCGAAGAAATTACATCTTTCTTTAAGTTTGCGCTGGACAGAATGAGTATTCTTGGTTCCTTGTATTTTCTAAAATACTGCACGTTCGCTTAACTCCAAGGTTTATATGCTACATATTATGTCTATCTCAATTCTAAGTTATCTGAAGCAAGCAAGGGGAAATATTCCTTCTAAGTTATCTGTTTTTACACTAGACTACCAAGAAATTCACCAAATCGTCTAAACTAATGCTAAAAGGATGTTCACATAAGATGCTTTACGGGCAGGCATCAAAAGATTCATGCAAGTAAATCAATGCCAAAATTAAAAATATTTCTCCTCTAAGGCCAAAGTTTAGCAGCAATGCATAATTGTATAAAATGAAGTTAGTGACTTAAATGTTATTGCCATTTTAGAGACTTAAAATTGGAAACGGCGATTATCTAATGTGTCTTGCGTATGTGGCTGAATGAATACGCACCTCCGAGCCAACCTATCGAATTGGTTTTGGGTTCTGTTCCATAATAATCGCACTGCTCACATTAATGTAAGAATTCTGTTCTAAGATCTAGTTATTTCTTTGGTCGGTGTTTTCCGGATATCGATACATACTCCAAGCCATTTTATCTCAAGTGGGTAGACTGAGAAGTAGAGATCTCCCAGTAATTTATGTTTATTTGTAATAACTACAAAGCTCGGTGGAATGCCTCCGAAAAAAGGCCGTAAATCGAGCTACCTTCCTCGATCATGATAAGTACTCATCAGTTATTTCGGTTGGCTTTGAATATGATTTACACTTTACATAAAGAAAGCAGCTTTAGAAAAGAGCAACATAAATCCATTTTTTCCATAGTTAAAGGACTAACACATAACCGGTTGTCTTATTTTGAGCAAAAGGGAGCATCATTAAACACAGAGTTTAATTGCGAAAACTTTTCCAAGCATAACACCTTTCTTTCGACCAAATGAATAAGCTCTGAAAAGGCACGTTTATGACAGCCTGCATTCTCGTGTGATTTACATTATATGTTATACCTCATTCACCCATCCGCTTCCGTCAAAATGCCTATAAACGTGTCTTTTGGTGTCTTGAGTCTATGTCAAGGCCCACATTCGCGCGCAACAACCTTGTTGCAGTCATGAAAGTCAGGGCTTGAAAAGCTTGTTTTACCCCAAGGGAGTCCGCAACCTTCCGCGAGAATTTTGTTTACATCCATCGCACCCAGAGCTGTAAGCTTAACTTTACTTTCTGTTGTGCGAGCTTAGTTAAAATTAAATTTTCACCGACGAATAGTCACACATTTATCTGATCAGGTTTGCGTATTAATTCATAAATGAAATGTCGAGATGATCTAATCGTGTCAGTAGTTCTGCAAGGCTACTGAAATGCCTGGGTTACTACAATTCCACTTTCAGCGTAAGTAAAGCAGTAGTCAATGGGGATAGCGTTCCATACTTGTGGAGAAATTCAAAAATTCATTGTAGTGTGAAAATAAAAATCTGCAAGTTCATCTGAGTTATTTGATGATTTCAAAGTTGACCCTTATTCGACCATAATGAATGTAATTGCATGCTAGCCCTGAGGTAATAAAGTGTCTGAAAATTGCCTCCTTTTAGAGTTGCAAAAATTCCCATGGCGGTACTCAGAAGACCAATTGGTGGGCATACGTTAATGTTCCTCAGATCAGTGCATTTATATGGGAACGGGCAGAAGTAAAACGTGTCAGTGACCAGAGTAATCGAATAAAGTTCGCCTTGAAACACAGACGGGCTGGGAGATTATGGTGGAGGTGGTGGGGGAGGGGTAACAGCAATTGATGTCAGGGGCGGGGTGAGGGCAGAAGGGCGCGGAGAGTTGCCGAGTTAGTCGCCCTTTGTCCACGGTAGGCGCGGAGCCGGAACGTGGTTATTCTGTGCGCACAAGATCGGTTTTCGTAACCCTATGGCGGCCGCTTTTGTTTTTGCCAGCAGTCGCTGGCCCAGTACCTTAGGGTAGGTCGATGGGAGCTCATAAATCACGCGAAAAGCCCCACTGGGGTACACACGATGTCGGGAATCAACAACATGCGTGCGGACGGCGCTGTTTGTGCTCCTAGTTTGGTCTTTTCCCAGCTATGCTGAGAGGTGTTCTCGTATTCTCTTCGATAGGCGGCGACTCCTGCAACCAGTATATTCCGCTCCACAGGAGCAATTGAAGGAGTAGACGCACCCTGATGCGCTCTGAGTTGGCAGCCTATACTTACCTTCTCCGCGTAAAATAGGATTAGTAGAGAGTAGTACTCTAACCCAGCAGCAGTATTCGAATCCCAGCAGCGATAGTCAGAATACTATTGTCTGCTAATCATATTTTACGTGGAGGATGTAAGTATAGGTGGCCAACTCAGACGGCATCAAGGTGCATCTACTCCTTTGCTTGCTCCAGTAGATCAGGTTAAAAAATTGGATATTCGACTTCGGTTTGCCATTCAAAATGACCTGATTCCTAAAACTACAGACGACACCACTTTTCGATGTTTATATATTCTTAAATTTGGTCATATTTCTCTCTTTCTTGCCCAATGCTTCGGCTTGCTGGCTGGCCTTGCTTGAACGCACGCATTTTCCCTTCCTATTCTTAAAAATGTACCCACCTTAACTTAAATAGGTCCTTATAAGCTGCCCCAGATAGCGCATTACTTTTTGTTCCTCTTCATTCATTTGTCTGAGAATGGTTCCGAAGCATCAAGCGTTCAGTTGCGTCGGACACTCGTTCAGTGTCATGAACTGGAGAACGTGTTCACTATTACCGAAAAGAGTCTATTCAAAGTGCTTGGGGCATTTCTCGCACAATTATACCGTTGGACAAAATATCTCATTTAAATTTGTTGTTTGTTGCCTCGGTTCGCAAAGTGACGAACCGTACCATTTTTTAAAGGTTACGTCTTCATTTCGCATAATGCTTTTGTTCAAAAAAATATTTTCATCCGTTGCATAAAAAGAATTTTCTTGGCAAAAGCATGGGTGACACAAACGTGTCTTTGAAGACAACGACTACCTTGTTTGTAGTGGGCTAGTGATTCCGTTTTGTGCTCATAAGAATCGAAGTCGTAACCTTTGCCTAGTTAGTAAAGGCCGGACAACAGAACACTGGTCACGAACTTTTACTTTGTCAGGTAGATTTTGTTGATTGGTTCTAGGGAGAATCAAAAACGTAAGGCGAATAAGATTCTCGATCCAGTGATCGCACCTTCTTGTTCTAAAAGGCACTTATGCTTAGCATGGAAACTACCTAGGTTCCTGTTAGCCGAGTTGAAAGTGCATCAAGGAAGTGGTCTTCCGATTCACCGCGCTTGAGCACTGACAGTTCGACCGACGCGAGTGATGACGGACTCAGTGGCTGACAAGGAGAAACATCGCATGCCACACACACTACATGAGTCCCACGCAATGTAGCAGATTTTTACAGACACAACGGGTGGTCAGCTCGGATCCCAATTGGTGAGGATTTCATAGAGTCTGCGTTGAGAATGAACCCTTGAGCCTGACTCCCAGACCTCGGACCAGTCACCCCACATACATACATAGTACTGAGAGAAATAAAACGGGCTCTACGAACCGGGTATGAGAATTTCTCTACTGCTGTGAGGTTGGTTTCACTGACGAGCACAAGAGATTCCGTGTAGCTGGAGTTCAGCGCCGGTTAAGAAAAGGGCACTGTCTTCTTAGTGGTAATGGTAAAGTCGGGATTGGAAAGGTCGTAGGCGAGGATCTCCACACCCCGCTGCGTGTCTTCTTCCGTCGTGCTGTCGTCGGCGTACAGTAGATCGTGAACACTGGCCATTGAAACCCACGAAGACGCTTTCAGGAGGCGGACGTCGGAAAGTTTTTCGTCGGTTTGGTAGTTCATGTCGATTCTCGGCCGCACGGTACGGTGGACAACCATCAGCACGGCGGAGGACATGAGGCTGAGGGGGGTGGGGGTGAGTGAGCAGTCCTGTTTCCTCCCCCCCCCCACTGATCACCGTGAATACTTCGTATTTTGTTCCGCTGTTCTTGGCGCGAGCCATTATTCCGTCGTGACGTTATTTCATCATTTGAAAAGATTGCTCCGGACATACGAATTTCTGCAGGAATATCCACAGTCCCTCACGATTTCCTGTGTCGAAATCCTTCCTTAGATCGGCGAATGTGGCGTAAGGGTCGCTTCTCATATTCTGGGACTTTTGCTGCAGTTGGGGTCTGCGAAAGTCATGCCTGTGATTTTTTGGCGTTTTTGAAATTCTTGCCGGGCTACTGAAAGAAGTCCCTGCCCCAGATAGGCGCTCAGCCAAATAAATAGGGCACTGGCGACAATTTTTCCTGGGACGTTGTGAAGGGAGACCTCTGTGGTTATCATAGATGTTGATCCTCTTGCGTTCCTAGATGGGCCGAGTATGACATCTTTGAAGTCTCGGGATACTTCTTGTTGTCATATCTGGAAAGGTGAGATAAGGATCCTATCAATTGTGAGCTGCCATGCCTGTGGACATCAATTAAAGTTGAGTCTGCTTTCCGTGCTTTCCCACTATACTGTTGTTGACCTGTTTTGATCGTCTCAAGGAGAGTAGGCGGACTATCGAAGTCGTTGTTGGTGTCCACTTAGGAAAGTTGGTCGATAGTTTTTCGCATATTGCCGACAAGTTGTTGAGGATGTCCTGGAAACGCGCTGCCAAGCCCTGAATGTTTTGCGACCTCGCAGTCAGAAGCGTTGCTCCACCCTTGCTAAGAAGTGGCGCGGTCATCTTGATGGCCCTTGATAGTCCCTTTGATTGTCGCCAGGAAATCCCTCATCTCACCGCAACCGGTATAACCCTGTATCTCCCCGGCTCTGCGAGTCAGCCAATCGTTTTGCACCCCTCCCTCAATCTCTGCTGTACCAGGTGTTGGCACCGGCAGTATGTTGCCTTGTTGATGCTGCTGCTGATGATTTAGGTCATGTGTATTTCGTGTTTCTTTTGAGAGAAGAGCGCAGACATCGTCATAGTTATCAAACCAGTCTTAGTTCTGACGGCTTGCACGACCGAGAGCTCCCTTCACGATGACCCTGAAGTTATTCCACAGTTCCCCCTATTGGGATTCAGCATTGACATGAACCTCCGGAGTTTGCATTTCCTCCGGGTTGCAATTCATGCAGCTGCTAATACTCAATGGACATTTACTCGTATCAGGTAATAGGGGATCTAACTTGTACAATAATAGCTTACCTTGCGGTCGCCTGCGCGATTGCATTTGGGCCTCATTTCAGACATCACGACTTGGTGATTCGTCCAGCAGTGGGCACCGCCCATCGTCTTAATTACGAGCATGTCCCGCTGACCACGCTTTCGAACTAGGACTTAGTTCGGTAGATGTCAGTGACGCAATTGAGGGTGCATCCACGTTGCCATCTCTCGCACCGGAAGACGGAAGATGGTGTTGGTCAGGAGGAAATTATGTTATATACAAGCCTATATGATGGGACTATTGGTATTGCAGCTGTCGATCCCATGGTAACGAAGAACTCTATCTCAGACAGCATGACCTGTGCCGGCGGGGGCATCGGCGTCATCAAAGACAACCAGTCTGTCCGTCTCCGGCACAGTTGTAATCCTTCGTAGAACTTGTTGTTCATGTTATCGGAGTTTGTTATTGAGGAGACATGGGCGTTGATAGTGGTAGCATCATGCTAATTAAACAGACAGACAGAAAAACCAGCGTTCCTGATGGCAAAGGCGACTCTGACTACTCGTTACCCTGCGCTTGGACGGCCGCTCCAGAATAAAAGGCCTCGGAAACCCACCGCTTACACTTGTCCTAACTCAAAGAAGCTAGTTCCTTCGAGGGCAGCAACGCCAACCTCGCAGTATGCTAGTTCCCAGGCTGCCAGGGCTGTCCTCCCTCTCAAGTGGTTTGCCGTAGGGTTGTTCAAAAGGAAGCGAACCTTCCAGACTGCCAGAATGATCAGTGTTAAGCTGGCAGCCTATGAGAAAGCACGGGGGATGGGGACTGAGGTGATATTGCTGTTGTTTTTCCACCGCACTTTTTTCGTCCACAAACCACGGTCAGATTGTCAACGACGTGCTACGAGAAGTTTTAGGGCAACTTTTCCTGCCTCCCTCCATGAAAGAGGAATCAATACTACCCCTAAATTTGGCTGTTTATTTATCCCAGGCGGCTGTTGAATTCCACTATGGGCCACAAGGTTTGCTTAGTAGGAAGACATCTTGAATTAGCTTTGGCCTCTCGTGTATCTTCGTGTTGTCCTCTCCTTGGAACGTTTTGGTGCGCGGTTTTGAGGGAGGACGGGGATTAGTTCAGGAAATACCATTTCCTACACGCCAGACACCCTCGTGGGCTTTAGGCCTCCGGTCAAGGCCGGTTACTATAGTGTGACCGCCGTGCTAAACACGACTTCATGGAGCTTCAGATGAGATCTGGGTGCTGGGACAGGGCGCATAAGACGTATCCACCAAGATCCATCGGTGCGTTTGACGGGGACTGTCAGTATACTGTTTATAAGTTTATCTTATTAAAATAGTCGTGTCTACATCATCAGGCCAGTTGGCGTCTCCTATACTACACTTTGTGCGTGGTAATTGCTGACAGCATTTGTGAGGCAGGGTATCCTCGTCAGTGTAAGTCTGGGTAACGTTCATCTAAACGCATCGATGAATCTGGTGTGACCGTAAAAGTGGAATGTGTATCACCGCCCACGGCACTCCCTACTACCCAGGTTAATAAAAAGACTGAACTCATCTTTACCAAAACTATGCACTTTTCCTCGTTTTACTAGTATACAGAGGATGCTATCTGGCCTGGACAACAAGCCGCAATGTGCATTTTATGCTAAACATTTCAGTTTAAAGGATAAATAATGCGTACGACAGTTTGGACTTTTGCGGAAATCATTCAAACCCTTTGCTTTAGGCGACAAACGTCTAGAAAGTCAAAACAGATTGAGGAAAGAGGGAGCGGCACATAAATGATAATTTTTTAGTTTAAATACTTTGCAGAGTAGGCGTTCTCTCCTCCATGTCCGCATTGCCTAATAGGTCGCTTATAGCCTTTGCTACGTAATCTTTAGCTCATTCACTTTACTGACGAGTTATCCTCAGCAACCAGCTAAGGGACTAGTATACCATCGTAGAAAATGGTCGTAACTACCGATCTCACTCCCAAAGGTTAACGCATGCAAAACAAGCGCTCAGATGTTTCAGAGGTTATCACTCATCAGTAGAACTGCCGCTACAAGCTCAGAGTCGCACGGTCTCGGAAGTTCTGAATAAACTACAGTGACCTTTGCTTTAGCCATTCCAAATATTGGGAAATAAAGCCTTATATGAGAAATTTGCGTTCCAGAATACAGGCCGTCCTACAGCTGTCACAGAATGCTGCTGTAAATGTACTAGGCACTGAAAAACCAGTTCGGTATACTTCCAAGGCGAAGCGATCCAAAGACGAAAGCATGCGTTCAATATATTTTGGCACGTGGGGATGAGACCATGCATGTTGAAGAAGCCCTTCAGTGGTACATGTGCGGCGCCTAATTTTTGCTTGCATATTTCTTATTCTGCATAGTAGAACAAGGAAGGTTATTGGAATAAATGGGGTTCCGTAATTGCTGTCTTTAACAGTCTCTGGTAAGGACTCAACAGTTCCTTTTGAAGCAGCCAGCGACTTGAGATGGACACTCTTGGCAAAACAATTCTAGCACAACATGTACCTTTGTCAACGGATACATAACTGCGCCCCGTATTTTGCATTTAAACAAAACGGGTCATGCAGCGGAGTAAAACGAAAACCCGTTAGCATTTCGGGCTGGGAGACGGCGATGAGGAACATTTGTCAGCGGATTTCAGTTCTTTTACAGCAACGTGATCGCTAGAGCTCTAAGGGTGGGTCATCTAAAACCTTCGGACATAACAAGAGGTCACTTCGCAATGGGTATAAATCTGAATGCTGTCAGTGTATTGTGACCACGAACGTTTGCATGTAATTTCAACATGCTTTGCAATCATACTGCGTTTCCTCATTCTCCTGCACCAAAAATCATGCCTTTGCATCGTTTAGTCCCGGATTTCAGAATGCAATCGAGGGAGTTCCGGTTCGTTTTACCCAGTTTCTTTCCATATTCGCAGGAACACGTAATGGCATATTGGCGCATTTGTCACCCATTGTTAACCTCACGACCAGACAGGCTTTGATCAAAGGTTTGCGAGAAATTAGCAGCAGTAAAGGCGGAGCATTCAGGGTGACGTTCGAAATTATTCATTATTACCCAATGAAAGGTTCGGGTAATCGGCAGACGGTAGGCATCAGAAGCACTGCCTCGAGCTTCGACTGCTTGCTTACCAGCCATTTGTCTTCAACATTCACATCCGTAAATTTTTCCCAATTATAGTTTTATCCAGTATTTTCATTGTATTCGTGACTTTTGATCTTTTTTGAGATCCTCTAAGAGACAATAAGAATTGTAGTAATTCGGCATAAGGGAAGATGAAAAAGTACACTTACTTCCTATAAGCCATTTAGTACTACTGCCAGAATAGCCAATGGCAACAAAAAAACAGTATAAAAATCTGTTTCGAAAATGTGACCAGATCCTATCATGGGCCATTTTGTAGGTATAATTACGAAACCTGCGATCAAAGCAATTTTGATAGGTTATAACACGATGAGTTTTAAGAAATTCAAACCGGGGCATAACGACTGTAACAATTCAAGGTCCCAACACCAGTCATTAGCGGAGATTGTGTGGATAATTTTCGCGACTCTAAGACTAGTGAGACATTCTGTCCGGAAAAAGTGACCTATCGATGTGCATACAATTAATCAGTGTGACCTAAGGAGAAAAGATATGTTAGCAATAGCAGAATATTAGGCATGTGAAAACCTTAAATGCAAACTCCAGACACGCCTAACGCGCGGGAAACAAAGTTAGGTGCATCAAATTAAACGTAAGGACTAGGAAATAAACGCGCATCGCCATTTTCGCTACTTCTCAGAGCAGTCGTCATTGGAGGCGGAGAAACAAATCAACTTCTGACTAAGTTATAGAAATGAACCACAGCACCTACGTACGTGTGGATTTGTTTAACAGGTCTGCGCTATTACCGCCCCAAACAGGCAGCAAAAACAGAGATTTTGTGATTGTCCAAAGAGTTCGAGTATTATGAAAAACTATGGAGATTTTAATGCAAAATGCTGCACAAATGATCTCACAAAACTACTGATAAACTTCAATGACTGGTGGCATTATTTAATGTAAATGCTGAACCTATCGCAAGATGACACTGCCATACAGAAGAAATGTGGTCTTTAAAAAACTACTCGACTTCATCTAAATAACCCCGTGTTCCCTTATCTTGAGATACATTAACTACTCTGGTCTAAGCTTGACTTTGCTTCAATAGGCTTTACGCTTGGCGGCTGCGCCAGTCATATGTGACCATATGTGCAGTGACGCCTAAGAAAATGCAAAGACGGAACAAAAGTGTTTCCGATTTTCGCTAAGTGCATCTCGCTTGAACAGTAGCCGCCTTGACACGCACCCGTGAAGGCTCTTGTCACCTTATCGTCTGCAAAGTAATAGCACTATGATACAATCATGAGGCTCGTGTATAAAATTGGATGATTTAAACAGCGTCTAAATTGTCGAGCGTACCCTTACTTTTCCGTTCCGCTGAAATTGACTGTCAGCGTTCTATTTCAGTCTTTACAACCCAAGTGCCTCGTGTTTGTTGTCATGATTTTCCGAGCATTATTTCGTCTCTTGCTTTAGTCAAAAATGCAAAGCTGAAGTAAACTCTGTATGTTAGCGAGATGGTTAACTATAGCTTTGTAATCCATTAGACTATAATAAACGTCTTCATTTTTGCCAGACGCTGACAAGGTCAAAACTTATCCCAAAGCTGATTAGAGTGGGAAGTAAAATAGAAACGCATCAAGACAGGTTTCGTTAAATATGGTTCTTTGTTTGCAGCTTTTATGTGATTTCTTTGTCAAGTTTCACCATCTTATGCACTCTACTTGTTCTTCCATTAAAAGACTTTGGATCGTATGGCATAATTAAGGAGGTTTGATAACAAACGTTCATCGAACCGTTCATTGAAATATTTCCCATTTCCTTCGCCGACTCACTTATACGGTACAGAATGGTGCGCAGTGTAGTTGCAGTGTCTATCTATCATGAGATATACTGAGAAGTCGTTCGTTTGTTAATTAGACACTATGGTAATTTAAAAAAACACGGGAATTTTCCAGTCATTTGACTTAATAACTTCAATGGATGTTTTGGCAGATTTTTAATAATCCATTTCGACCTAATTGAGAAAAACTCGGCGACCTCGGCGGGAAGTGAACCCACAACAGGAAAGGGAGGGCTTCAGAACGGCCAACCCACAGTGCCCCTGAACTACACAGCCCCACCGGGAACCATGAGTTTAATCATATTTGGGCCCAATTACCCGCCCAGCCACCCCATGGATTCTAAACTGATTACTTAGGAAGTCCTGTTTCGGCAGTCAGCTTATTGCATCAGCTTTGGTGGATTCCAATAGGCCGGACGGGTAACTTTACATAAATATGGCTAAACCCGCCCCCAGCCAACCTCCCCCTCCTCCTCCTCCTCCTCCTCCTCACCGCAGATGCATCCCTGGTCGTTTCCCATTCCTGTCTTCCCCTCCCCCCCCTTACCATCCAGCTAAACCATGCGTCTCCCCGTTTCTTCTCCTGGCCATGCGCATCGGCGGACGTCATGCATGTAGCGGGTGTGTGTACACAATACTTGCATGCCTGTTTGCTCGCCTGCGGCTACTGCCTTTGGAGTAGGTCGAGTCTGCTCGATTTACATGTCTTTACTGCCCTTCTCCCTCCTGTTGATGCTCATCACGTCGCTACTACTGTCTGGCCGAGTCTCATTCGTGCTACGTGTTGCGTCTGTGTACGCGCACAAATATGCACATGCACTCGCTGCTACGCCGGAAGAAGCATAAGCCAATGTGAGTGATAAGGAGACAGTTTCTAATGCAGCAGTCAATGATCCACTAGCATGTCTGGCATGCTGGCTACTACTCGGCACTAATCGCAAACGCGACAGCCGGACCACAGTGAGAAGAGGGTTCTAGCAGTTATTTTTTCCCACCAAAGATCACGGAGGCCTAAAATGCACTGGACGCGGAGTGAGGGGTGGACGATTGCGGTGTTACTTTGTCTAAGCTGAAAGGTGAGACTAGGGAAAATGGCTCTCGGTCGGCAGCCTAATCGCTAGCCAGCAACATGCTATCGTTGTTCTTGTTTTTGTCACGACTGCAGACATGTCTTTGTTGCAAAGGGAGAGATTATAGGATTTGGGGTTGTGACAGGACCATGGTGCTTTCCTGAGGGTTACTATGTGTCCAGGGTTTTACGACGAAAAGAGTAAGTTGGTTTGATTACTTCAAACCCTCACAAATCCCTCCCAGTAAGAGGGTGCTAATTTGAGGAAAAGAGTGACATCAGATGAGGAAAGGGAATTCGAGAATTCCTATTGGTCCAACTGTGAAAAACTCGGCGCCTCGGTGAGATTCAAGCCCACGACAGCAAGGGGAAGGTTTTAGTACAGCCAACGCTCAGGCCACGGGCAGACGTGATTTTTATCACATGCGGGTCATGTTACCCACCCAAAATACTGCAACGTCCGGAATCCACCAAATTTGATAGAATAAGCTGACTAAGCAAGTAGGAGTTCCAGAGTAATCCACCTAGAATCCAACAGATGGCTACCAGACTCACGTAATTCATAAATGTTTTGGCAGATTTTCAACTAGGAGGCCCCACGTGAGTTTGGGCAGGTAACTTGACCCACATGTGATTAAAATCACGTATCCCCGTGGGGCCTGGTAGCTCAGGTGGCCAGGGCGTTGATTGGACTGAAGACTTCCCCTTGTTGTCCTGGGTTCAAACCCCACCGAGGCGCCGACATTTTCACCATTGCATCAATATGTATTTTCCTGATCCGACAGAATTGAATGTCTTTTTGTAATGTAGTCTGCCCTGTCAATCTAAACAACGCCAGTTCCTTATCTGGCGCTGACAGGAAGTGTGGTTTTTCACTCTCCCCCTCACCTCCCCCAACCCGAGCTACCGCATAATTGTCTACTTGCCCGTATATTTTAACTCATTAGTTCAATAGCCATATCAATGTACAGGCGTGGAGAGAATTTATCTAAAGTAGACGTATTCTCGCCAAACTGCCTTTTGAACTTTTCCGTGGGAATTTCTGCAACTTAAAACCACAACTCCTTAAATTTCTATGCTCTCACACTTTCCTAACTTAGTTCGATGGCCTAACTACTATGGAAGCTCACTAAACTGGGTACAGTGGTCGCACATGGGGATGGAACACAGGTATTTCGATGGAGTATCTAGTTTGGAAGAGCTTAAGAAACCTATACTCATAATTCAATTGTCTAAATTGCACATTCATAAAAATGTGTAGTATTTCTCGAAAACAATAAGCATAATGTCGTCAGATCCACTGAAAATCGGTCAAAACAGCAATGATGATTTCCACTTTAAACTTATTTGTTTTAACTCCAGTTGGATTTTCTTCTAATGAAAATCCATGGTGGCGACTTATAACAAGCCAAAATTCACTGGTGTCCAATAAAGGCCAAGGGTTTTGTTAATTATCCTATTCGTCACCCAATTAAATTCACACTATGAAGAACGAATCTCCTAATCCAGGTTGTTTCTGATGAAAGAGACACTGATATTAAAAAGGGGATTCACAGTCAATCAAGTCGGTAACACTGACAGGACTCAATATAATAAATGAAATAATTTTTCTAATGCCTAGACATCATCCTTAAAGTCGGGTTACATTACTTTGGCTAAAGTTGTACTGAGACAGTGTTTCCCCGTGCCTGCATGCTGCAAAATTGAGTGGTTCGAAACAGACAAATGGGCTGCAAGTGAAAAGAGTAGAACCCTAAAAATTAATGCAAGCGTAAACATAAAAAATAAAGCAATCATAGTACCCTGTTTCGCAAATCACGGCAATTCTGGCTCTCAATCTCGTTGAGAATGTTATAAACCAGCCCTAGATCATTAAGAGATAAATGGCAGAAACAAGTTGCTGGTGACGCTGGTGACCCTCCATCGTAATGTGAGTGGTGCAATAACCTGGACTGTCACTTATACCATGCTACTTTATGGGGAGAATTGGATAAGCAACGTTTAACTTCGAATGCATCATTAAGGCCAAGGTATTACTAAACCTATGCCTGCAAGAATCGCGCGACCAGCCGTCGGTTTGATCACTTCTTAGCTTTGCAGCTGTATTAATGTTTAGAATATTAGGCCTACTTGCGCCTTTTTAGTAGCCTATTATAAATAACATAAAGGAAATGCATTAACAGGATGCCCTCGTTTGCAGAAGCCAGGCGCAAAAGACAATACCGAAATATATATATATATCGAAGTTTCACTTGAGAGGTGTTTTCGGCTATAAATGGTTAGCCTATATCTCTGCTGGTTTCAGCAGCCTACCGTTTTTGTCTTTGATATAGTCTGGATGGGGGAGTTTTTTCTTTTGCTCTCGCATAGTACAGAGTATGGCATGACATTTCTGCGTCTTCTGGCACTGTATACGATATACATTTTGCCTGAAAACAAAGGTAAGGGTCTTTACAGTCAGTTGCTATCCACCTAATCGTCAGTGTAACAGAGGATGATCTGTTCTTTAAGTAGTTGTGTTGGTGCGTTAGTCGCTCAAGACGGGCTTAATAAAAGAGCGCGCACCCAAACATTCTTCAAACAAGGTTCCAAAAATCCATTATTATGTCTTACTTCATTACATAGTTTTCCTTACTTAATACCTGAGTTATCTTTGTGCCTTCATTTACCCAGCACGATCTTCGTCTTAATGAGGCTATCTTTTTCACTGATAAGCCAGTATTTTTTGATACGCACCATGGGGATGCAATCGGGCATACTGGCCGCACCAGTAGTCGGGAGTCGCTAGTTGTTTGTGGCGCTGAAAAATGTCAGTACGAGATTCAAAAAGAACTAAGGGTCTAGAAGAGTCAGCCTATCATGGAAAATTCAAAAACGATAGAAACTCGTTGACCAAAATATCGACAATTTTAGGTTATAAAAGCCGCACCCAAACCGTTTCGGGAGGCCAATTTCTGCACTCAAGTCATCTACCAAGGGGGGTTGGACAGGGGCATGAGTACCCTCCCGCGCTACAGGTTGCTTCAACCTATTTCTAGGTCCTAACTCTAAACATAAAATTAATCGCCCAGTCGCAACCCTAACCGCCAAAATCCAGCGCAAGGCCACCTGTAATAGGGAGGAGATAATGATAACTGCTCACGACCCAATTAGGAGCATTAGACGCAAAGGTGAGGGTGTCCCGAATAAAGCTCACACAATAAGTAGCTTTTAAATGAAAACTCGGCATGTTTGCAGCTATAGGCAGTTATGAAAACCTAGCAACAAGTTAAAAATGTTTTTTTGGACAGTATGATTAAAAAGTCAAATTGGCGAACACGTGTTTTCAGTAACTCTTCATCAGGCCAAAACGGTTACAATGAAGTTTACGTTATGCGAATTACATGGCCAATTTGACTTTTCAATTGCAACATGGGAATAGTCGCTGAACAGTATGATTACTTGAGAAATATTCATTTGGCAAAAACCCGGTCATTAAGGGTTTCCCTGTTCCCTCAATCTCATTCGACGGATGGAATGAATAGTTTAGCCTAAGTCATAGTACATACTTAAGGAAACCAGTGGCCGGTTTTGAGGGATTCGGGTATACCCGCTTCTGTTTTTCGGACCGATACACTCAAATGTCAAGAATTTCTAAAATTAAATTGTTACCAACTGAGAAAGTGGGGACGATACGGGGACAGTTCTAACATGCTAGAGGTGTCAGCCGGTCACAGTCCAGTCTTAGATGGGGAGAACCTTTGATCGGCATCCGAATTAATGTGACCACGAAATGGAGCCTTTTATCGGTTACCTCAAACACTCATATTTTATTGACTCCGATCGAGACTATTCATGATTACGGAGGAGTGATATCCATTTTCCTGAGCCGACTGTAGGCGAACATACAAATATTCCTATTGCTAAAATGTGCAATGAAAGCATACCAGAATACAAGTGTCTTGGCTGCAGCACATACTCGGATAAAACAGATTAACCTTGCTGACAGCTCACCGTCAGTAGATAACGCAATACCGATGCTTCAGTATGTTGTTCATGACACCACTCATTGATCGTCATTTTGCTTAGTCCTTAAGGGACATTTTGCTCCAGACTGTACAATGCTGAGGTACTTATGTGAAGCGCACACTTTCGCATCAGGCAATCTTCACCCGCCTAGAGAGGGTAACGCATGTGACCAATTCTTGCTTTAATCCGTATCCGTGTCAGAACTCTACTTCCTGAAATGCTGTCAGCCCTATCGACGCATTTTCAATCCAGAGAATCCATATGCGTAATTTTGACGCATTTGGTGTCTATCAGCTGCCTCGGGGACAGGGTCTACATTCGAAACTGTCGACACACACTCCTCCTCCTCTTCTCCCTCTTCCTCCTCCTCCTTCTGCATATGCCCCTCGAACGAAACGGATACATGTGCCGCCGCTGCGGTCAAGCGCCTACTGTAGCGATACG